GGCCAAAATCAGTTTTTTAATCTACAGATGCTTTGATGGTAATTGTTTAGGAAAAGAAAAAAGGCACTTCCTTTATGTCATTGAACGTGAAGTGACGTGGGTAGTTAGTGTGGCATTCAGCTCTAAGAAACAGCTGCTCATAACTCGGCTTTGTTAGCCTTTGCCTGAGGAGTACACTGAGGGCTTCTGGGCTCCAACATGGAGTTCCACCCAGAGCAGGAAGGAGGGGAGGGCCCAGAGACATGGAGGGGCCCACAGCCAGGCCCTGTGTTCACCCGTGAGGAGGCAGCAGCTGAATGTGCAGTGGCGTCCCCAGAGCAATGACCATCTAGTCCTGGACTCTGGTTACTGGGGGACAGGATGGAAAGTTCTCTGTTCCCTGGTTGCCCTTCTCCACACAGGCACTGTGCCATGTTCTTGTCTCACTGGAGGTACCCTCTTACACACATCCATTTTTAACCTTAAAAAGAGCTAAATATGCACCACCATCCCTTCGGCTGCCGTGACCTTCATCGGAGCTCTTGGTTCCAGTCAGTTCAGAAACGCATCAAACCCATAGAGAGAGAAAACAGCCCAACTGGCGCCTTGGAAAGTTTGGCCTTTTTGCCAGCATGGCGGTGCATGACTGTAATTACAGTACTTGGGAGTTGGGTAGGGACAGGAAGACTCAGAGTGAGTTCCACCTGGGCTAGTGACAGGTTAGAGACCAGCCTTAGCCACATGGAGAGACCCTGCTTCAAAACCAAACAGAATATTCTGTTTTCCCGAGTTGGGGCTTTTATTTAGCAATATATTATCTAGTCACATGTATTAACTATATATACAGTAGATAATGGAGTTAATTGTGGCACTTCCACATATGTGTGCAGCCTGCAGTGATAGATGGGAGTTCTTTTTCAAATATTTATTTACATGAAATGGAATCTTGTTTATTTATTTGAGATAGAATCTCATGTAGCCCAGGCTAGCCTCAATCTCAACTTGCTCTGTAGCAAAGAAAGACCTTGAACTTCTGATGATTCTCTCATCTCTAACTCACTAGGATCACAGGCTGTGACCTCACAGCTGGCTTTTATGCGGTGCTGGGGATTAAACTTGGGGCCCTCACATGCTGTAAGTTAGCACTCTGCCAAAAGAGCTGCCTCTAACGTACGGAAGCGCTTTCTTTCACTTCTGGATGAAGACTCCCTGACACTTTGTTTGTAAGGCTGTCTGATGGTCAGGGTCCCCAGATTTTGCCTGTTTTGAGTAGCATCTATCCTTCCTTCATGAAGGCTAGTTTTGCTGGGCATTGTAATATTGTTTGGCAGTTACCTCCTTTCATGACTGGAATACGTTCCTTCCTGGCCTATAGGTTTCCTACTGAGAAGTCTACTGTTAGTCTAAAAAGGACAGCCCTACATGTGGCTGGGTACTTTGCTCTGGCAGATACAATTCCTGTTTTGTCTTATATCATTGGCAGTTAAGTACAGTCTGCCATGGTGACGCCCCTTTCTGATCATGTCTATTTGAGGTCCTCTGTCTCTTTACCATTTCACTGAATGGATTTTATACCCTCTGAACTTTGCTCCCTTACCTCAGGTATTCTAAAAATGCATTCAGGGGTGTCCCCAGAGCCCTGAACTCACTCCTTCCATTGTGTGTCCTGTTTGATGGAGCAATGCAAAAGAGTTGAGCGGAACTTTCCCTGGGTTCTGTTCCCTCCTAGGCATGCAAGAGTCACAGCTCTGCTATCTGGTCCACTCCCACCACCACCACACCTCTGTGGTTTCTGCTCAGCCCCAGCCCTGTGCCTTATG